AGTAATATGCTTTAATTAGATTTAAATATTAGTATTTCATTGTCATATAACATAAAGCACATGAGAAAGCATGATGGCACATGCAGGAGCCAGATGCATAAATCTTTGTGCAGGTTTACAAATAAAACTCTGTGTATGTTTGCATGAAGAAAATATGTGTCAGGTTTCTTTTGTTAGATGTATAAAGCCGTGTACAAGCTACGGCTTTCAAACAGCCACTTGTTTGTGTTAATTTCAACACAGAGTCAAGAGGACATGTGTTCATTCAAGCTGAGTTCTACAAACTCCCTCTGCTGGACAAGAAGACTAACTACGTTAAACGGTCTGTTGCTGCTGATCCTGGTGGCCGTCTCATTTGTTTAAACTTAAAGCTGTAATGATGTTAAAAAGCTGCACACTGCACCTTTTTAATGAAGATTCAGTGAGTCATCTGTTCCATCTAATTAGTTATAATGCCTCTCTCTCTCTCTCTCTCTCTCTCTCCCCCTCTCTCTCTCTCTGCCTCTCTCTTTAATGAGATTAAGGGATTAATTTATGTTTTTCAGCAGGTGATCTGGAGCAGAATATGTATCAAACATTAGTCAGGTAAAATGAATTGTGAGTGTGTGTGTCTGTGTGTGTGTGTGTGTGTGTGTGTGCGTGCGTGCTTCTGTGTCTCAGAAAGGTGGTGACAGTACTTTTCTATGTTCACCACCTGGACTTGGATTTGAAGTATTTCAGGCCTCAGGTCTGTGAGACGACAGGATGTGATTTCAGTCTGTGAGGTCAGCTGATTCTCTCTGACGGGATGTCAGTATGTCAGTGCTCTGCACATCAGAGGCACCTGAAGGTGAGCAGGCCGCCGCCGCCACTGATGCTGAGGGAAACACTTCTTTAGTGCATAAAAGCACAGCACTTTCAAAATACTCCCTCTTTAAATGAACCTTTTTGTGACTTGTGCTGACTTAATAATGACCTGTTTTATTTTTGAATTCATGGAGGTATCACCGTCATTCTCCCCTGGTAACCTATAGTTTAGCCACTTACATAATCGTGGATTGCTGTTGTCGTTTTCACGTCTTCTGCAGGATCTCTCTCTCTCTCTCTCTCTCTCTCTCTCTCTCTGTCTTTACAGTCTCTTGGTTAGATGTGTCCTGTACATGAATTGTTAATGTTGAGGGACTGAGCTGCAGTGCTGGAGTTTTTTTCTGCTCCATTACTGCTCTCCCACTGGGTCAGCAGCTTCACCTGTGAGCTGAGCTCCACCTCACCCCGGCTATAGTTATTTCACTAACCCCAGCCCCCAGCATCAGGCTCTGACATTATAACTATCTGTTAACACAGGTCTAAATAACATGAACTGTACTGTCATTGTAGTGATTGTATTTCAATTTATACTTTTATCTTCTTGTTTAGATGCTTTCAGCAAACTGGGACACTTTCCATATTATTTGTAATTGTGCTATATGTTATGGAGTACATATAGAAATCAGTTCATATCATTGCAACCAATACTAGTTATATAACCTGGAGGGATATATCCTTAACAAAAACAATTCTAGAGGAGAGTGAAGTGGTGAATGTTTTAATGTCACATTGTGTGAAAATTGGTGTAAAATTAGTGAAATAGTCAGTTTTGTCCGTCCATACGTTCTCCACTGCTGGATCCAGGTTATGGTGGCAGCTGGATACTCAGGGTAGTCCAACTTCCTTTCCCCCACCCAGTCTTCATTTCCAGGCCAGAGGGGATATGTAATCCCTCTAGCATGTTCTGGATGGCACCTCCCAATTGGATGTGCTGAGAAACCCCCCATAAAGCGAAGAGTTGAGGAGGAGTCCCTATCAGATGGTCAAACCACCTCAACTTGCTCCGTCCAGTATAAAGGGGCAGCGGTTCTACTCCTTCTGCTGTGTTCCTCACCCAGTCTGTAAAGGCCGGTGTATGGTCAAAGTCAAACTAGTTCGAAGGTGTTTATTGCTGTTCCAAATGGCCGCTCTTAAAGTTGTAGTGAAAAGCCTGGCGTCAGAGAGACCTGGATTTGTGGGGATGAATGGGAACACTGTCAGACGACCGTCCTTCAAAGGCACTGACGGAAAGTGACCTTGAGAGAAAAGTTGAAACCCTGCTGACTTTCTCGCCGCAGCACAGACGAGTAATCGCTGCATTTAGTGACTAAGATCGCTGTACTGTCAGTTTTGAAAAGTAGCATTGGTGACTTGTGGGGGGCGGGGTTTCGTATCCAGTCTCCTTCAGCCACCACTCAAATCTCATGACCACAGGTGAGGGTTGGAGCGTAGACTGACCAATAAATCGAGACATTTCACTTCCTTTTCCGCCATGACAGTCTGGTACATGGTTTACGTTATTGCAGATGCTGCAGAAATCCACCTGTTGAGCCTGTTTCCTGTATAGCTGTAGTGATAATGACATTAGAGCTGGTAGATTTTGTTCATGTGGTAATGGTGATGTTGTCATGTGACTCCCCTGCTTCCCAACTTCTGTTATTTTTTTTGCCTTTTTGGAGCTTCGGCAGCATCAGATCCATATTTGTGTCAAGCAGTTTTCTGATGGGAGAAGCAGTGTGGGTGGAGGGGGGGAAAGGTTACGGGAGCATCCTTTGACACACACACACTGTCGCTCGCAGCATTTTCATATGAAATGTTAGATTGACAAGCTCTTGTTCTCATTTTTCCCCTTTTTTCTCTCTTCCTTTTTTAATCTCTTTACTCTCATCCTGCCTTTTTTGTTTCTCTCTTCTCCTCTGGTCTGTTCTTCTCTCTGTCACTTTCTCTGGTGAAATGTCATTTCACCTGTTTACTGTTGATTAACTGCTGTTTTTTTTTAATCTTGCACTCAGGTGCATCCATAATCTACTGGACACGTAGACAATCACAATACATGCTCACGCTCTGAGTGGCTGAGCAGCTCAGATGACTCAACAGACCGACCTGTCTAAGCCAGCCGCGACCTTTCAGAGCTTTGTGCATGAGGAGCGAAAGGTCATTGTTGATCTGAAGAGGAGCTGTTTTTATCTCTGAAAAGGTCGCACACAGCTTGAGATGACACATCAGTGCAGTCATGAGTGGAGATGTCGCCTCATACGGAGCTCCATGCGAGTCCAGAAAAGTCAGTCAAGAGCATTTAGCATTTCCCCAGAAGGCCGCACCCGGGGGCTCTGCGTCTCCCCAGTATGTGTTGGTGTGTGTTGCTGCCAAAAAGAAAAGGGACCGGGGGTTTCACTGTTATTGCTTGGCTTTGTGTGTCTGCAGGGGTTGGGTGGTGGGCGGGGCCTCCCGCGGCGTTCCTCAGAAGTGGGTCAAAGGGATTAATTTCCTGGCCTGGCCGATTGGAGCTAATGGCAGATTAGCATGTTGAGTTTCACTTCCAAAACAGCCTCTCCACCCAAAAAACCCCTCCACCAGGAGCGGAGGAGAAGCCGCACGCTGCTTTTCACACTCTGGGGGATTGAGGAATGTGTGTGTGTGTGTGTGTGTGTGTGTGTGTGTGTGTGTGTGTGTGTGTGTGTGTGTCGAGTGATGCCCTTACATTGTGTGTACATACACTCTCTGGCTGACTCCTTGATGACACTGTGAGACCACAGCAGGTAGAGCTAATAGTAGGTATGGACGGGATGAATATTTATGGGGACCATCATGGCAGGACCAAATGGCATGTGAGCATTGTACTAAGAAAGATTCGAGTCAGTCTGAACAGCTCTGATGTCTTTGTTGTGATTTCATGGTTTGCAGTAATGAAATTGTTTGGGGTTATAAATACTGCCGTCTGTGCTCTTGGAAAAACAGAGTCACAGGCTATGAGCACCTGCTTTAACGGATTGGTCGATCTCATGACATCATCAGCTGAGGCTTACTTCCTCTCACGTGGGGCTGTCATATCAACCAAGACAAATTTGCATATTGTATAATAGACTCCTTTCCTTTACGTTTCAGCCATTTATCAAGAAAAAAAATAGCACACATGTTGGTGTCGGCTTCTGGACTGTGAGGATTTGCTGCTTTTTTTCTGTTTTTATATGATGGTAAACTGAATGAGAAGCGATTCGAAGATGTCACCTCCCTCCGACAGTGATGGACGTCTTTCTGAATCTTCTGACAATCTAGAGCCAGAATGATTCAGCATCAACAGAAGTCCTAATCCTGAAGAACAGACCGTGTTCCTGTAACATTAAAAGGTCAGGTCTGACTCCAGTTAACCATCTAGTTTGCATAGCACTCACCGGCTCCTGTCTGTCTCCTGTAAAAAGGGAATGCCATTACAGAAAAGACTGCTCTTGTCTGTCTCTCTTCACCGGTGGACCTTTTTAATGTGCTGCAAGTGATTTTAATTAGGTTTCGTACAGCTTCTACATTCTACAGCTTCTCCTCTCCTCCCTTCTCCATCTCTCCTGCGCCTTCTGTACTCGTCTTTTTATCAACCTTTCATCAGGCCTCTGGCAACACCAGTCAAGCCTGTGCAGTCTTACAGCACGTACACCACACAGCTGTGACTGCAGCATCTTGCCAATGTTAAAGCCCGTCCAAATTACATTCAGATTTTCTCAGTATCAAGCATTCTGGGTTTTGTTTGATGGGTCTACAGTTTGATTGTTTGAGAGTAGCAGCAACGTCAATAAGGAGTCTCTCTCATGTTGTCTTACTCTTAAGGCTTTGGAAGAGCGTCTTCCCTGTTAGCCTCCGTCTGTGTTTTTGCAAGAAGCCTTGTGTCGTGAAGTTTCTCTGACTCAGAGGAGAAAGTTGGGAAAGGAAAGGAATTCTTGAGTCAGCTATTTTGGGAGTTGCCACATTTTACATTGCTGCATTGTTTCTTCAGGGGATGTTTTCAAGCTCAAGAGGATATTATGTCTGCGAGTGTTACGAAGGCTGACTGCGTTATTTCTCTCTCCCTCTGTTCCTCTCTTGCTCTCTATGTTCTTTCTTCATCCTAACATTGCCAGTGTAGAAGGAAACTATCTGTCGAAACAATCAACTCATTCCCAACCCTCTCTCCTCTCTTCTCCAAGGTATCGGAAAGAACGTCATCTGCGACAGGACCGCCACGCCTCTGGATGCCTTCCGGATGATGTCAGCGGCCCAGTACTACCCTAAGTTGCTGAGCATTATGGGAAATGTGCTACGTTTCTTGCCGGCCTTCGTTCGAATGAAGGAGCTCTTGGAGGAAGGGTACATTGGGGAGCTTCTGGTCTGTGAGGCCCAGGTGAGAGAAACCTATCAATGCTTGTATGTTGAGGTTGAGTCGGAGCAGGACCCACAGAGCCGACAAGGAGCCAGTATCTTGCTCAGTTGTACTTTGGCAGCGTGGGTGCTGTCTGACATCTCCAAAACTCTTGCATGTTTTTGTTCTAAAGTCTCAGGATCACATTTAAGTGAAAAATGATGCCAATAAGATCTCCTCATGATTTCTCCTCTTTGCCCTAAAGGTCCACAGCGGTAGTCTCCTAGGGAAGAAATACAACTGGAGCTGCGATGATCTGATGGGAGGGGGCGGCCTGCACTCGGTGGGCAGTTACATCATCGACCTGCTTACCTTTCTGACGGGCCAACGCGCAGCAAAAGTCCACGGCTTCCTAAAGACCTTTGTCAAACAGACGGACCACATCCGGGGCATCCGTCAGATCACCAGCGACGACTTCTGCACGTTCCAGATGGTATTGGAGGGAGGCGCCTGCTGCACCGTCACGCTCAACTTCAACGTGCCCGGAGAGTTCCGTCAGGAGGTGATCGTTGTGGGCACCGTCGGGCGGTTAACGGTGACGGGGACGGACCTGTACGGACAGAAGAACAGCGGGGGCGGAGGAAGTGGCGGCGGCCCTGAACTGCTGCTCAAGGACACCACGCCTCTGGAGAAGGCTTCTTTACCGGAGAAGGCCTTCAGTGACATTCCGTCCCCGTATCTCACCGGGACGATCCGCATGATCCAGGCCGTGCGGCAGGCCTTTCAGGACCAAGACGACCGGCGGACGTGGGACGGGAGGCCTCTGACGATGGCTGCCACCTTTGAGGATTGCCTCTACGCTCTTTGTGTGGTGGATACCATCAAGAAATCCAACCAGTGCGGAGAGTGGCAGAACATTGTGGTGATGACAGAGGAACCAGAGATCAGCCCGGCCTATTTAATCAGCGAGGCCATGCGGCGGAGTAGGATGTCACTCTACTGTTAGCATCTGGCGGATGTGGTAACCTCATCAGGATGACTGGCGGTGGCACTGGAAGGGCATCAGTGTTGCTGGAACCTTTTTTTTTTTACAGCTACTGGTTTGTTTTAATACTGTCGAGTCTTGTATCGTTCCTGTTACGGACAGAGAGGTTACGCCACTATAATACAGAGAGTTATGGCTTCCTGTCATCCTGCCTCTGCACCAGAGGAAAAGCAATGTGATTAATAATCAAACCTTTATTTATGAGGAAGTCTTTCCCTTCTTCTCTCCTTTGAAAGAGGACTTGAGATGCACTTGTAAATCAAACTGATTCATACAACAGAAAGACAGAGATACGGTCTCAGAGTGGAACTAATACTACTGTGTTCTGCTTGACCATAAGGGTATTTGCGCCTCTCATCTCTGCTCCTCCTCTACTTGACTGGGTCTGGAAGTCAACACCTTACACTGTGGGTCCCAATGAGGACAGCCAAGGAAGAACGACGGTCCTCTCAGTTAAAACTGTGCCGCTCTGTTGTTGCTACCATCTGAAGAACTTGCTAGTTTCACCAAGTGAATGTTTATTAAAAAAAATCAGTGTGCTTGATAGCTTCATTCTCCGTCTGCTCCGTATGCTTCCCTGTGAAACAAGAGAGAGAAAAAAAATCAATAGTTTGGCTGGTGGGTTTTCAGAGGGGTGAACCCTCTGGTTAATGTATGCAATACACTCAGGCTGTAGTGTGCAGCAGAAATACTTTAATCTTCCAGCCTGGAGTCAAGGGTTAAGATGCACTATGGTTTCCCTTTATGCAGCTACAGCAGCCTGTGCATCAGTTTGCGAGTCCTGGACGAGCGGCCAAAGCAGTGATACATTGTGTTTATTTTCTGTACACAGCCATGAAATCTACTGAATCCTCTGTGATGAGTTAGCACATATCTCTACTGAGCCTTAACTGTGGGTAGTGATACAATCTTACACTTAGCTGCAAGTAAATACTAAGCCACTGTATGTGGGGGTTTTGTCCACATGTCGCAATACAATGGATCACCACTGACGTGCCGAGTGACATGCAGGCTTGTCAGTTTGCACTGAACCCTGACTGGAAATTTGCAGCTTAACAGTGGTAGATAGTGGAATATATTAGCGTTTCTTTCACTTTCTGTTGGAGGTGTCAAACGTCAACGCTGGTGTTATTCTTAGTGTGAGAAAATCCCATGAAAAGCAAAGGGTTAATCTGCCTCTCAGTACTTTCTCACTTCCCTACCTAAGCCTATTGATTCCTACTGAAGAAATCTTAAAGCTGCACCAATAGCAGTGGCTCAAATGACCCACTGAAGGTTTTCACCTGTCTCTGCGCCTCCTCTCAGCTCAAAGTAGCATTTTAGCATCTTTTGACTCATTGTTTTCATTATACAATCTGTGACTTTGCAGCCTCATTTCCAGCATTTAGCTGTTGACTACGACACACACCTGCAGGTGAAGGACGGTGTACGTAAGATTTACTCAAACAATGAAGCTCTTTAGCACAGGTTACTGTCAATTAATTGCTGTTTTCTTGTCTTTTCATGGGATTTTTGACCATAAGAAAAACATGGAATATCACCAGTCTTATAAAGCAGCAATTACATGTGCAGAACAGGATTTATCCAGAAGAGCCTCTGAGTAAAGAGAGAAGAAAAACCTACCAACCTGTGAGTACTCAGTAGTTACTACTCCATTATTACATGAGTACTCAGCTCTCATGGGTTGGACTTCACCCAGCTTCAAACTTGGCCTTCATTTTGATCTCAGCTACACACCTGTAAAGTGTTGTGATGATATGAGCCCTGCTGTCGCAGCTGGTAACATGTGAGTGATATATCATATATCAGGATATTATTTTTGCCTCATCATGATTCATCAGTAACTTCTCATAGTCTCCTCCTGCCTGTCCATCACATGAGGTGGCTAAAACAAACCATCAGGAAGTATTTGCAGACTAATGGTTTGGTATCGCTCAGTACAGGTGAAGAACAACACTGACCTACGAGCCAAAAGATTGATTTTTTTTAATGCATCTCTGTGCCCCTGTGTGGTTTCAGGTTCTTAATCTGTGCTGAAATACTATCTATGTAACGACTACTGAAAATGAACATATGGAAATATTATAAAACTATGTGTTTGTCTAAAGAAATAAACAAGTACTGTATGTATTTTATTTGTATAAACCAAGGAACTGGAACATGTTTCGATTTTGAGTGTTACGGTATTTATTCTTTGTTTTTGCTGTTGAAGTTTTGTGGACTGACCTGCAGTGTGTTTGGGAGATTAACAGCAGACTGAGGCCTTGGAGCGTTCAGCTTCTTAGTTCCCTGTTTATCAGATATTGACCAAAATGGCTTAAACACGCTGTTGTGAGAAAAGCTTTATGTTTGATCTGAAGATCAGTGAAGTGTCATAAACCATCACAGTCATAATCCAACAGAACTACACTGTCACTCAGTGCAAAGAGTCAATAGTTGTAGCTGTTCATAGGTCATAGTATCTAACAGTAACGTCTGACCCCCTTTTATTGTTTAGTGTTTTGTATTGATGCTTGGCTGAGGCCACATTACAGTCCATGCTGTGGTGTGGTCAGACACACAGGACTTTGTAACACAAAAACACACACCATTGCTAGCCAGTCTGCCTGAGTCCAACACTGATAAGCTATCTCTCGTCAAGATAACTCCAGTTATATTATCGCCCCTTGTGTCCCAAGCGCCTTATCAAATCTGCGTATAGACTTTCCCCCTTTGTCTGATAACAGCTCAAAATATAGAAATGTCTGATTTACTCTTAGGAAAATGTTTTCATTCGTTCTCTGTTCCGTCTTGAAAAGCAGCTCGATCTGACTGAAGATTTATGAGTGAGGAGGCATCAGTGAGTGTGAGAGAGAGAGCGAGAGAGAGAGAGAGAGAGAGAGAGAAAAGAAATGGTCCAGGGTCCAAATCACGGTTCCTACATTCAGGTCTTCATCAGACCTGTAAACACACTTTATTACTGTCTGGTTTATGGTTCTGAGCTGATGTAGCCTTGGATGTTGAGACCTATGGAGTCTGATTCGGAGGTGAATGATTTCCTTTTCCCGCTTTAGTTCACTGACAGATACATGCAGGGAATCTGAGGTGAGAGAGCAGAGATTACACCTCCATCACATGTTAGACAGTTGATGGCTCTTGTATATTTTAAATGCGATCAAACACTTCAGTCATTTGTGTGAGTTGCCTTGCGTTTTGAGCTTAAACAGAATGGATACCAGTGGTGATAGCAAGTAAATTAAGGAGATAAAGTCTGTGTCCTGTATGTCCCCGTAAAATCCTTAGAGTGGTTTAGTCCAGTGGTTTTTATCCACAGAAGGAAGGTCATACCATTGTTGTTTACAGGGTTACGTGAAACAAACTGAAGGTTAATCGTTTGTTTTCGGTCGCTTTAATTACATTAGATGAGTATTTTCAAATATTTTACCTGCTCCTAGTTCATCATCTGTTTTTACACCATGGCAACTTGGCTTAAATCACCATTCATTACCCACAACTCCACTGCTTTTGGCATCTGTGTGTAGGAATCCACACACAATAGACCCAGTATGTTTAAATCAGCTCGGGTCCCACGCTGACTTTAAATTCGCTATATTTAGTGTCCCAGGGGTGAGAAGAAGATATTTAAGAAGCCGCAGCTTTAACATTAGCTTAATCAGATGTTCCCAATTCTTTCAAGTGCTGGAAACGTTGCTGGATTCACTGTGAGTTTGTGCTGGCTGGAGGTTTTTTACCCACATCCTCACAAACTCATCCTCCTCCCTGAAAGCGGCTCAGCAGACACATCCTCCTTTCTCTGTGGTGGATGTATCATCAGCATCTGCAGGAGGCTTTTCTAAAGTGCAGGAATTTCATTGACCCTTTACTTAACACTTTGCTGCTCATCAGTGACACAGGTTCACACTTATCTCTGCATGGACTTGCGATGGGCAGCACCCTGAAACAGATGATGAAATATCTGGGTTCTGAAGCACTGAATATTTAATGAGAGGAATTTTAATGAGCGGATACAGAACAGTATGAGGAGCTGATGCTTTTTAAATAGTCAGCAAAATCAAATCTTTGTTGGTGTTGTTTTTTTTTAAACTCTTGACTGATATTTCTTTTAAATGTTGAATCACTGAATATTTTTATTCTTGCTGAGAAGCTGTTACATGTCGGTTACTTGCAGGACTGCAAAAGAGGACTTGTGTTTCCCACGATGACAAATGCTGGTTTTCTGTTGCCAACAGCTGTTTTGTTTACCATTTAGCTTGCTGCTCGTGGCCTGTTGAGGATGAGCCGAGTCTGTGCTTCACCTTGCACTTTGACTGCCTTCTCTGCTGACAGTCAGGATGATGAATTGCTTATTCTCGCTTTGCCAGCATTCACAAACAGTTCAGGAAAGGCCCTCACTCGCTGGGGGTGGGGGGCGGGGGGTGGGGGGGTGGAGTTGGGGTCGGGTGAAAATTGTTCATTTTGGAGACGAACAACCTCAAAAGAGGCGCTTCTTCTGCCCTCGGAGACCGTTACTTAGCAACCGGAAGCCACGTTGCCAAAACTAGGTCCTGTCTTGGATTTTTTTTTTCTCTCTCTCTTTTTCATTTCCACTCAGGCAGTCACACACCACCCTCCCTCCTCCATACGTCTACACACCACTTTCTTTCACTCTTCCTCCATCTCTGACGGTCAAATCATGATCTACTTAAAGGTTTTTGATTTGCTTTTCATTGATTACAGTTTCTCCTTTTTCCTTTTCCTCACTCTCTCCCTCTCTCTCTCCTTCTTTCTATCGTGAGTCAGGTTGAAGCCTGGAGGACAAGCTCACTGGTGCTTCTGCAAAACATTTTCTCCTCTCTTCTCTTCACATCTTTTGGAGGCAGGACAGGAGTAACCAAGGCAACACCCTTTAATAAAAGCTAATAACTGACTGCAGGTTCTGAACACCTTTCCTCAGCTGGTTTATGAATGCTGACTCTTGCCCTGTCTCGCTGTAGCCTCTACTTGTTTAAAGAAAAATATCCATCTTGATGCTGTATTGTGACTATATCCAATATTTATTGTTATGTGTGTATATTGTGGACGCATGGACCTCTGTACATACTGTAATTTCAGCTCTCAAGCGCATATTTATGGGTCTTAATCTAGAGAATGTACTTACTGTAGGAATAATTTATATTTTCTATCCGTTCAGGATGATATGCCATTTTTAGGAGGTCAGTGGGTGTTACAGAAATAAAAATCCCCCCCCTTGAGTTTTCTGCGTGCTGTAAAGTGTTATGGTGCACTTCCCTTAAATGACTCCCTCTCCTCCTCCTCCCTCCATCTTTCTTTTTTTTTGATTGATTGTTTACTGTTTCATCTCCCTGCACCAGTGCTCAGCATTGACTGAATGTGTGTGGATGAGTGTGTGTGTGTGAAAAGTGGGAAGGGGGTGTGTGACTTTGTGTGTGTGCAACATGGTTTACTGCTTCAGCAATTGTCTAATGCTGCAGTTTCTATGGAATAAAAAACATGTACACCCATAATGACTCAAATTTCTTTTTCATCATTTTGTCTATATTGTGTGTGTTTGGTAAAAAAAATGCTTATAAATATGCACCTGCTATTTCTCAGATTTGTGTTTCCTGTTATCACAGTAATATTTTTTCCTTTAGCTCCTGCAGAGCTGCACAGAGAGCGTCTGCTGACCCCTGCTGGCTGCTGTAGATACTGCACATTATCGACTGCAGGTCTTAACTCAGCTCATTTTCTCCCAATTCATCATCTATTTTTAGATCAAAGTGACTTGTCTTAAATCGTTTCATTACCCAGAGCTGCACAGCTGTTGGCATCTGTGTGTATAAGGATCCTCAGACTATAGACTCAGTGTGTTTGAATCAGCTTTTGTCTCATGCTGAGAGTAAATTATTGTCCCAGAGGTGAGGAGATGTCTAACAACCCACAGTGACTGATAACATGAGCTTAATCAGATGTTCTTGAGTACCTGCTTCAGTGCTTCAGATTGAGAAGTTCCTGTGCAGGTGCTTGGTAAAATACCGAAACAGAAAAGTATCATCATCAGGAATTTAATTGATCCTTCGTTTGTTGTCATTGTGATGCTGACAGTGATTGTGATGCAGGGGGAAAGTGTTCTCACATCACATACGTGATGGGCAACACTCTGAAACAGATGAGGAAATATCTAGGTTCTGAAACACTGAATATTTAATGAGAGGAATTTTAATGTGCAGATTGAGAACAGTATGAGGAGCTGATGCATTTTTAAAAGTAGCAGCATCAAATGTTCACTTTCTTCTTGACAGGTTTTCCTATGTTTCCTTTTAAATATTGAATCTCTGTTTTAGTTTTATATTCACTGAAACCTTTTTACAGGTCATAGCTGATGTTCAGACATCTAACTGGTATTGAAATGATATCGTATGGTGTCACCACTGCAGTACAGTAGTGCAGAAGAACTGGACTGTGGACAGTAAAGCTTGTTCACTCATGTTTCACAGAAAATGCTGTTCTTCACAGACTCCATGCTCTGGAGTGTTTTATCATTCAGCCTATTGTTGTTGTTTGATGCTCTTAAATTACTAATCAGAATTTCTCAGAGCCGTAGGCCTCCATCCACACACTGTATCTCTCCAAATCCATTCTGGGCTGCAGCGATGATCAGGACCAACAGCCGAACCATGTTGCAACCTCGGCACCTTCTGCCTGTTTTCAAGACCCTGCAGCTTGTTTTCTAATGAAATGTGTGTTTCATTTTCATGACATGACAACTTTCAGAGGCAGCTTCACACAGAGATGTCACGAAAAAGATGTCATTTATATTTTCCTCTGCGTTGTTGGTTTTTGTGACCAAAGAAAAAAAAAACCCCATGATGTTTCAGTGCTCTACTAAAGATTTATGTTGTAGGGCAGGAGAAAGTTTCTGAAACAGTGCAACTGTCAACAGCCTGTATGTCGTCTGACAAATGGCAGGTGAGACTCTCGTGTGTTTTGTACCTGATGGGTCCAATGATTCAGATTGAACGAACCACTTTAAATAATCTGAAGAACACATATTTCAGTCTTTCCTCCTCCAATACTTGATTCACAGACTAATGAAACACTTCAGGGAGGAAACTGCAGGTAAAAATAGAATCTGTTGCTGTTAAAGCTGCTATTAAATCTGTCGCTCAACTTTGACCTCTGACCTCTCCGGACAGGACAAACAGGAAGAGCTTTGCCTACACTTATCAACAGTTTCTCAGATCCTGAAAACCCTTCTTCGACTATTCAGCTCACATCACATGCACTTTGACTATTCTTTAGTCCCGCCCTCTCACAGCTTTAATGAAACAGAGCGTCTTTTTTTCTTATAGACTCATGATTTTTTAAAGTTCTGCATCGTTTCTTATTTCGTCAGTAGCTGAACGTGGGTTTGCATCTGCATTGCATTGCATGGGTTTTCAAGAAACTCACGGGGAATTTATGTAAAAATGCAAATTTGTAGCTTTTTTATAGTTTTATTTTGAACTTTATTTTGAAGCCTCACGTCCGCTTTGATTGTGCTTACCTTTACTCAGGAAGTCTGATTACTAACATTTTAGTGGAGATGTTTACCTGCTAATTTGATGGTGTGAATATTTTTTTGAGGACTTCTCCGACCAGCAGCTGTGCGCCGTCTCTGTTAGGGGCGCGGCCTCCCTGTGGCTCCCTGCTGGTTTATTGTGGTGTGTGTGTGGTTGTAAAGGGAGGACGGAGCGCTCCATCCGAACACAGCGGCGGAGATGGCGGACCCGGCGCCGACTACGATCAAGGTGGTGTGCCGTTTCAGGCCGCTAAACAGCTCGGAACTGGCGCGGGGAGACCAGTACATCCCGAAGTTTAAGGGGGAGGACTGTGTGCTGATGGCGGTGAGTGTGTTGCACCTTTCACCAACTGGGATCAGAGGATAAACTGAACTCAGCGCCTCACTTGTTCCATTTTTCATTCAGGGAAAGTCACTATTGCAGAGAATGATCAATAAATGTGTGTCTGTATGAATTATGATGTGAATATACAGGATGTTGTTGTCTGGCTTCAAACTGCTTCTTTTGAAGACAACTCATTTAAACAAAAAGTTTAAATGTCACTGTTTGAACCCGCGGGTAAATACGTGGAACACAGCGCCAAACTTCATGCAAAATTCTGACAAGTTAATGTGACTTTACTGATCAACAAAAACCCCCAACAAATAAGGTTCAACACATTTTCTGAACCACCAGGAATCACTTGAACTGCAAAGAAAGTATCGAGTGATGACACCATCAGCTCCTCTCCTGTGTTCCTCCAGCTTCCTACAAAGTTTATTCGTATTACACTGTATTGGAGAACTCGTGTGCCTTCATTGAGGTGTAGCTCACGGTTTTGAGATTTTCTAGGGGGATGGTAAAGCCGTGCGTAACGGAGCTCTCCTGGATGTCTTTTGCGCTTTTACGCACGAAGTTCTCCTGAGCGTTGGCAGCGGGGTGGTGCCGGGTTTAAGCTACTCAAGTCTCACCTTGACAGCCTCATGGTTACTGTAAACTGAATGCTAGCCTTATCGTGCTAATGTGTTTGCATGATGTTACAATTTTGCTAGCATGGTAATACTGTGAGGCAGATTGAGCAGCTGGCATAGCACTTAAACTAGGGCCCTACATACATATGCAGTTTCAGTCTCCCTCTTTTAATACATGTGTTTTAACACCTATACAAATAGTGTAGTGTAGTGGTTGTTAGGCTAATCAATGTCATTTCAGCCAGTCTGCACAACCTGAAATCTCAGCATGTTTTCAGCTCTTTTTTCTCAACATACTGTGACTGCTGTGTGAAGCTTTCACTCTGAGGTTTTACAACAGTACAGAATATTAAAGTCTTCATTTGACCCTTTTCTATATATAAGACAAAGAGCACTCTGACTCTTGCACTGAATAGAAGACAACTGAATAAGACTTCACTGGAAACACAAATCATTTTCAGAATTAAGGTGAATTAGTTTCCAACAAGTGCCAGTCCATTCTGCTGCATCATAGAGGTAAACCTTGAAGGCACACCCACATATAAAAAATGGTGGCCCCGGTATTAAAACTGAATTAGATCAGATCAGAGAGCAATGTTAAGTAATAGCTTATTCTAAGTTTACACACATCTGATGCTGCTGAAGGTTTATTTGTCTGTGAACACAGTTAAACAGTGAGCTAAACTTATACGAGTTTTAAAAGATAAAGTCTGTAAAACTATATATTCAGCATACATAGTTTGTTTGTACAAGGGGAAACTGTGCTGCAATATTAGGGCAGAAAACTAATATTTTGTCTGTGAATATTATATTATTATTATTATTACATTATATATTTCAGTATCATCATATTTGTGACTTGTCAAATATAATGTATGTCTTTTTCTTTTTTTTTGTTAGCCATTTTCAAGTTTATGGAGGCTAGCTCAGCTTGTTTGATACAACATGTGGCATGTTGGTGACTGTTATGGCTTGTAGCATCAGATTAATTAATGGAATATATCGCTCCCTTCAAACTATAACCCCTGATGATCATGAGCATTTAAAATGAAAAGAATGAAAGGCTGCTTTGTTTAAAGGCGCTGACCCAGAGTCACAGGCCTGCTCATAACCAGTTATCTCACGAGGAGAAATGTGAATACAATAATATAACTTTATTTTTTTTTAAATCCCCCTCATGATAATATTGTTTATCGTGATATTTGGGCTGGACTGTATTGAGATATAAATCTTTGGATATCGCCCAAGCCTAACTCTACCCATCTCAACCCAGTGCCATGAAGTAACCTATTAACAAGACTGTCCAGCAACAGCAGAGTGACTAGTTTATGTCACACTACCAGTGAGATCAGATCACTGCTGCTGAGTCAGGGCATCAACATGTTGCCGGTGTGGCAGGCAGCAGTGGTCTGGTGATTTGTTGCTTTGAGGTAAATTCCGTGATAAATGGAGGCCTAATTTAAAAAAAAATCACTTTTTCCATGGTGCTTTAGGGAGTTTATTTTGCTGTACAGCTTTTGTATCTTCTCTCTTATTTTGGTGACTACAGTATAAGGATTTATTCTACTGGGCAGTCATAAGAGCACTGCACCGATATGATGACCCAGTTATGAATGATCGGCCTAACAATCACAGTCTGTACCTGTGTTTGTGTTCCGTGTCATTGACCGGCATTTAAATCCCTTTGGCTCAAGTCCATGTAGCTGCATGTGAAGGACTTGTGTGACATCATCCTCTATGACAGACTTCTTCCTGTTGTTCTGTTGTGTGTAGCACATTGTGATAAAACACACGTGTCAATGCTTATTTCAGTTGGAGCTGTGTTTCTCCTGACATCTCATATATCTCCTAAAAAGGAACAATTGACTCGTCTGTTCCCCCATATGCCATGTGTTATCGTCTCAGGTGACTCCATCAGTGTCGGTTTGCCTTTTCTGACACACTGATTTTACTCTTGTGTGTTTCCTCTTTGATTTCATGTGTTCCCTCTGTTTGAACAAACAGGTACAAACTGTGTTGAGCTGTGCCCTGGACAGTGTTGTGTCAGTCAGCAGCTGAGATGTGTTTGATTGAACAGTTTAAGGATAATCTTATGGCGTCTTCACAACATGTGTGTTGTGTCATACTGTCTTCCCAGTGAAGGAGCTGTCTGAAGTGTTTTGTGATGGTTTCGTCAGCAGGCCGTTTGCTTTTTAGATTCATGAAGACATTTTTTGTTGTGTTTGCTCTGTGCTCGAGGACTTTGGATTTAAAATCAAAGTTTAAAGTGCTGACTTTAAACTTTAATTTGAAGATGCTTATTTCAAACTCTTTTTAGGACAAATGCTTGAAACTGTTTTGGCCTAGAAATCCATGTGCACAGGACGCTGAACATTTAAATAAACTGTGTGCACGGTTTATTGAAGACACTGGGAATATGCATCTGACTTTAGAAATAAAAGCAGGGAATTATAATTCTGTAATTATAGTTTTTGTCGGGGACCGAGCTGATAGACCGGAGAGACACAGGTCATTTTTGGAAAAATAATGTCCAATTTTTATTTACAAAAAGGAATAACAAAAGTACTTCAAACCATAATTCTGGGCCCATAAAAGAGGTCGACACAACAGACCTAAACTCACAGCCAGGAACCCCAGGAACTGGTAACTCAAAGAAAACTGAATTAACGTCGTGACAAACAACTTAACTTTAAGAAAGTAATACAGTGAAATTGACAAAGAAAGTTAATTCAGTGTGTGCATCAAACCAAAACCTGTGTATTTCTCTCTCTGTATATGTGAATTTTGAGTGTCGTGCTAAAGAAAGAAAGACTTGAAGTAAACAAACAAATGAAGAGTTACCACCACTCCCTGATTGCTACTGTGTGTAATAATTATAATATTATATTTGCTGTAGTTACTGTAATGCAATGTAACGTTAGCTAAACTGCAGCCCCTGTGCCTACCAAAAAAATACACACAGTATCACAAGTAGAGGAGGGTCATACACAGCAATGGCTGCTGAAATAGCTAATGTGAGCTAACATTAGCCACAGTAAGCTGCTGGTCAAAATGTCTCGGTGTATTGAACTGAACAAGGCTGCATTTTATTTGCAATGAATTCAGCTTTTGTAAGACGTCATTTCTTCTTTTAAAGTTTCATGATAAATGAATGAGTCCCCCGCGGCCTGTACTTCATCTTCACATAAGAACCATGTATTAACAGTCAGAGAGGACTTGCACAGTGCAGATGTAAATCCAGTGTATGCAGTTATAGTATTCTCACCATTTTTCTTGAACCCCCCTCGCTTTTATTTTGTGGCTATACCCTGTACTATAACACAATCTGACACCTGGTAACATGCAGAAGAGTTAATTGGGCCTTTTCCTTGCTGTGTGGCAGTATGAAACTTCTTTACGATCAGTGCCTCCTCCTCTTCTTCTTCTTCTTCTTCTTCTTCGCAGGGTAAACCGTACTACTTCGACCGTGTATTCCAGTCCAACACAACTCAGGTGCAGTTCTACAATGCTGTGGCTCAGCAGATTGTCAAAGGTGAGCTGTGCAGCAGAATCCAGACAAAGACTCACACACTAAAACCCCGGGAGCACCTGCCCAAGCCTCAATACTATCTTTGTGTTGCTGTATACAGATGTTCTGGAGGGATACAACGGGACGATATTTGCCTATGGGCAGACGTCCTCTGGCAAAACACACACAATGGAGGTAATGTAATTCTGTTGTATTTTCCACTGTAAAAAAAAAACAAAAACTACAGTGCTTGAGATTCTGTGCTGTTTTATTTATACTATTTTTCTTAATTGTCTCCTGAAGGGGAAACTCCATGATGAAGATATGATGGGAATCATTCCCCGAATTGTTCAAGACATCTTCAACTACATTTACTCCATGGATGAGAACCTGGAGTTTCATATCAAAGTATGTTTCCTGTCTTATTCTGGCACTCGGATGCTTTTAAATGGCATTATGTTGGTAAAGTCTCATCCGGGGCTTCTGCTTCACAGGTTTCATACTTTGAAATTTATTTGGACAAAATCAGGGACCTGTTGGATGGTATGCGACTCTCTCCTGTGGCTGGTTATTACTCAGACTCTGATACAAACGTGTTTCATTCAGACATGATCTTTACTTTTCCTTTTCCTCCACAGTGACGAAGACCAACCTTTCTGTACATGAGGATAAAAACAGGGTGCCCTTTGTGAAGGTGAGACATGTGGAGATTTCATTTTATGATAAGATGGTTTATTTTTAGGTTGTTTCTGTTCCATAATCCCACAGTCACAAGCTTGTCCCAGCTGCTTGTAATGCATTAGCTACGAATGGTATGAAAGATCAGAACAACAATTCAACTATAATCTACAGGATTAATGAAGGTACACTGTATGTTCTTCTCAGTGCAGACTGTTGCAATTCATGTTGAATAAAATGTATATTTTTAATCTTTCATATTGTATTCAGCTACAGGTTTTTATATAATGAGATTTAGGAATGAAGAGAGACAGTATGTCATGGCCTCCTCTGCTGATAATTATCTCTCTGTGAAGTCGTCCTGCTGCTGGGGCTGTTGAACACAGCGTCTCCTTGTGATGTGTGTGTGTCCCCAGGGGTGTACTGAGCGTTTTGTGTGCAGTCCTCAGGAGGTCATGGACGCCATAGACGAAGGCAAAAACAACAGAAGCGTGGCTGTCACAAGTGAGTTCTCACACTGAGCGCCTCTCATGGGTTCAGTCTCACTGAGTCTCCTGACTGTGGCCAGACTCCCCATCAGCCAAAGAGAGATCTGTGCTCCACACAGAACCCAAGACGAAAGGAAACGGGAGTGAAATTAGGCCTGGTGCATAATACAGAGCTGTCAGGCCACTGGGATGTTTCCCAGTGTTTCCAGTTTCCCCTTTGATAATGACCATCAATAATTGATGAGCGGTTGGAAAAGTAAAAAGATGTTACCGCAAAGCAGTCATGTGAGTTTTATTTACCCTTGTTCAGAGAGAGAGAGAGAGAGAGAGAGAGCACTGGAAAACTTCTGCCATTCACATAATGTTTTATTAACTTATTGACATGTCTATAGCCTACATCTGCTATGACTGTATGTAATAATAATATATAATGATAATAATTATCTTTATAGAGCACTTTTCAAAATCTGTTACAAAGTGCTTAACAAAAGCAGCAATAGAATAGAATCAATAAAATCAATAGATTTGAAAGAGAAACTAGCATCACCTCCTCATCGCTCAGACTAGTTTCAGGTTACATCCCTGTTTATCCAGAGTCAAATAAATATGAACCATTTGTGTGAAATTTTGTCATAATTGATGTGTAAAGTCTTGAGTAATGGCTAAAATATTTTTTCTGAGGTCACCATGCCCTTGACCTTTGACCCCCAAAGTCTAATCAGTTTGTGCTTGACTCCAAGTGAATGTTTGTGCCAAATAAATGTCAAGGCATTATGAGATATCGTGTCCACGACCGGTCGGACAACTGGAAAACAACATGCCTCCGGCTCTGGTTGTCGTCGGTGCGGAGGCATAGAAAAAGTGATAAAACAATTAAAACAGTTAGGTGTATAAAAACCAATACAGAGCAATTTTAAGGGAATTAAAAAACTTTGAGGGGAAGTAAAACCAGGGAAATAAGAGTAAGTTTCAGCCTAACAGACAGGTAGTCCACATGTAGCCTCCACTTTCTCCTGTAATAACATTCAATCGCTAAAATGGTTGTAAAAAATAATTTAATGGCTCAGTCACTAATGTTTATATTTTGTAATCTGGTAACTTTCCAGATGAACATAGTGGCCAAATAAATAACTAGTCTGGTACCCGTTACATCAACCAGTAGGGTTAGCCAACAACATTAACAGTCTGATGGTTTGTGTGACGGTGGCCTGGGATGGACTCATATTGATACACACTATATAATGTCAATAGATATTAATAAAAATTGTTAAAAAAAAGTTGATTTCTACTAGAAATATTCTTTATTCTGGCAGGTTGTAATTAATTGAAGAATAATTGTTACTGCACATTTGTTTTGCTCATTTTTATGACTAGCACAGTGGTTAATTGTGTTTCTGTGTTTCTGTGTTTGTGTGTGCGCGCGCATGTGTGTCTCAGACATGAACGAGCACAGTTCCAGAAGTCACAGCATCTTCCTCATCAACATCAAGCAGGAAAACACTCAGACCGAGCAGAAACTCACTGGCAAACTTTACCTCGTCGATCTGGCTGGGAGTGAAAAAGTACCTCTCTCTCTCTCTCTCTCTCTCTCTCTCTCTCTCTCACACACACACACACACACACACCCACCTCCTTCACAGTTTACTGTCTAGATATGAAGGACCCTTACACTCTTTGCTTCAGTGCCTCTAGTGGCGCAGTGTGTTTGACTGTGCAGACTCCTGCTGTTGCTGCTTCCTGTCAGCAGGGGGCACTACAGTAATCTGTCCATCACTATAAGACATTAATAAGCTGAGGATAACACTAAGCTCCAGTAAAGCCATTAACATGCTTTTTATAACTTTCTTTCATTAATCTCCTCCTCTCTCCTGTTGTTGTTGAATGATCATTCATCATCATCTTTGCTAGTTTGTTATTCACCTGTTTGGAGAATCACGAGCAGATTAGTTGTTCAGAAGAGTGATCCTGTTTTCGACATTATTACTGGGCTTGTAATGCCAGAGCATGGGTTCCTGAAATCATGCTTCATGAAGAGTAATCTCCATTCCAGTTAGAGAGAGAGAGAGAGAGAGTACTGGAAGGCAGCATCACATGTCGGGGCATCCTTAAGGGCCATTTTATTTTCTAACTCTAATATACCCGTCAATCAACTGAAGGAGGACTTTGCTTTGCGCAATTCATTTAAGGTTCTGAGGCAGATCAGGGATCGGGGGGTGCTGAATCTTTCACAGTTGTCCATTTATGCTCCTGCGTGTCACAACCCGTCTTTTAAGCTTCTAAGGCTTGATGGACGGGTCAGAGAAGGGCCTATTAAGGATCTCTATATTAACAACCAGCAACAACAAGCGGAGGGCATGACTGCCAAATGAAAAATTTTCAGAAATAAAATACATTAAAAAAAAAAAGAAGAAGAGTGATCCTGTAATATATATAACAGTGTTTGTGATAGTGTGTTTCCAGCAGTGTTATGAGGGAGATGAGGGAGAACTCCCCTGTGTGTGTTTGTGTTTGAAAGGTGGGTAAGACTGGAGCAGAGGGCACAGTGCTGGACGAAGCCAAGATGATCAACAAGTCCCTGTCTTCACTGGGAATCGTCATCTCAGCTCTGGCAGAGGGCTCGGTGAGGCAGTCATCACCTCCAGGGTGGGGGTGTTTAGTTTTTAGAGGGATTAGTCATAACTGTCGGTGCCCCATTTATTAATAAGGGTGGAGTTTCATGTATATATATTTAAAACCATGATGAAAGTGTAATAAAAAATGATGCCACACTGTAACTGAAATATTGAAGGCTATTAATAAATGATCTCAGTAGAAACACTATGTCGACATAGTGGACTCTAATGTATGTCCTCTGTCAGTCTTATATTCCCTACAGAGACAGTAAGATGACCAGGATCCTGCAGGACTCCTTAGGAGGGAACTGTCGGACCACCATGGTCATCTGCTGCTCCCCCTCCGCTTACAATGATGCAGAGACCAAGACTACACTGCAGTTTGGACAAAGGTGCGCACACACACACACACACACACACACACACACACACACACACACACACACACACTGTATATCAGACTACGTGGAGATCATGGGCGTCATGTTTATGTGAGGTCACAGACCAGGACTCGTCTGTGTAGAGGCAGAGGAAGGATTTCTGGTACAGCTCAACCTGAAGTGGTCAAAACTCTACAAACAACAGTAACATAAAGAAAAACTTTACAGAACAACATGTTTTCAGCTGGATGCCCTCATCTGGGCATCATAAAATACATTACAAGTAACATTTAAATTAGAAAAAATGTAAGAAAAACATAATAATGTTTTTAAGAGCGATTTAAAAGAGGCCGAAGAGCTTGTCGGTCTGATCTCCTCAGGGAGGTTGCTCCAAAGAGTGTGGCCCTGAACAGGTTGCGGCTAAGCACATATGGTGTCAGTAAGTCCAAACATTTGGCTCAGACATGTATGAAGAGAGTTACAGTCGTCCTAATGAGAGGAGAGAAAAGCATGTATCCAGATTATTACTGGGTGAAATAGGGCTGATCTAGGGCTGAGTCTCCTGAGCTGTAAGAAACAAGACTGGACAGCTGTGTTCACATGCTTGTTCAGGCTGAGCAGGTTTTCAAAGATGAAGAAGATTTTTTCAGCTAAGGGCTATACTGTGGGATTAAGGTAATAAACTATCAGAATTAAAACAAAAAATAACTTAAAAAGAAAAAAGTGATGAATGGATGCACTTTTTCATTCAGTGCTTTTAACTTCATAAGTCACAATTGGTCATTGAACAGCAAGTCCCAGCCAGGTTCATCACCTTTTAGTTTCCCCCTGGAAACACTTCTGTTGTGCTGTGAGTATTTGCAGCATGTGTTGCCAAATGTTTTTGACAACACGTGTTTTCTTAGGTAGTTCCCATTTAAGAGGGGGCTTAAAAAGTGTCTGACAGTTTTTTTAAGAGACATTTGCATGGTCGAAATGATCCCTTGATTTTTGTCCCCGTTTGTATACAAACAAAAGTGGATCCTTAAGCATTTGGGATGATTCAGGGTCCCATTTTAAAATGTGTTTAAAATGTTTCTTGAAGACAGACTTTAGAGATATGTGTCAATAATTGAAATTAAAAATGTTGTGAATTGTGATAAATAAGAAATGATTCACAAATTTACAAATTTGACTGAATTATATCGTCCGATGATGATGATGTCATAATGAGGACAAACAAAGAGTGAACCCACACCCCGTCAGTTTGCCCCTGCAGTGAAACCAAAGTGAAAGTGGGCTGTTGATATGCGGAAGAGATTTGTCTTTGTCTCACCTCTTCGTTTCACCAGGGCAAAGACCATCAAGAACAATGTGAGCCTGAATGTGGAGCTGACCGCAGAGCAGTGGAAGAGCAAGTGGGAGAAAGAGAAGGAGAAGAACAAGACCCTGAAGAACACTGTCACCTGGCTGGAGACCGAGCTGAACCGCTGGAGGGGCGGTGAGGACCACACACTGCAGTACACATGTGGAAAAATGTCTTCATCCTGATACTTACTGAGATTTTGGGTGTATTTTAAGAATAATTGAGGATAATGTAGCTCCTTATTTATAGCACAGATTTGCTATAAATTGCTAAAATGCCCCAGCCTTTCCTCTTACTGTGCTTTTTAAGAACCAACAGGAGCCTTCAAACCAAGGCAGCAAAATGTGGGAATATGGGCTGGGAATCTTCCATAATGTAAATAAAAAGGGTAAAACTTTGCTTTATAATGGTTTGGATCAGTTGAAAAAAAGGAAAAAAACACTCGCCACAGTATCCTTGTCTTAGTTTGTTAGAGCTGAATCAGACACTAGTCCCTGTTTGGGTTTGTAAAGGACGTGTTGAGAGAGACCATGACGCCTGCTTCAGACATGAGAGCTTATGATTTCCATTAACATGTTGACGTGTCAACAAATGGTTAATCGCAGGAGAGAGTGTGCCAGTGGACGAACAGTTTGATAAAGAGAAGGCCAAAGCAGAGGTCCAGGCCCTGGACACTGCAACCAACAACGATAAGACGGCACCCACGCCTGCCCTCAGCACCCTGCCGGGGGTCAAACTCACCGACGCTGAGAAAGGGAAGTGCGAGGCAGAGATGGCCAAACTCTACAAAGAGCTGGATGACAAGGTGAGGAAGCCGGTTACATTTCTTCACACGTCTTACAGCCTCCTAGAAAAACCATTTTGCACATGCTGGTGTGAGCACAACAAGCTGTAGCAGTGTATTGACACACTGGGGTGTTGATGCCTTTAGCATGGTTTGATTGGTCAGATCAGAACAGGTGACAGTAATTAATTACAGTGAGTCCAGCACAGTGACAGTGAGTCTTCTCCCAACACATCAGTACATGTCAGGTCTAATATTGATATACTGATACATTAAAACACTGGAGTAATAAACTCCGGGAATATTAAATGTGACTGAACAAAACAAACCTTATAAAATCATTGTTCACATGAAAACATGATGGTAGTAATGTATTAGTATGTTGTACATGAAACGCATTGATCCACTGTATGTGTTTTGCTTACTCAAGCTATTATATAATGTAAATATATAATAATTGAGCTGGTTTTCTATGGATAAATTCCTCTCTGAAAACTTCAGGTGTTTATGCCTTTAATGATAGTGACCAATAGAAATGAATAATACCTTTTCTGTTGTTGTTGTTAAACTGATGAAAATGAGAATAGAAATTGTGTATAATAATACACACTACATTTTCATTCTCACTTGTAGTATTTCTCTCGGCCAGCAGGTGGCAGATTTCTGCATTTGGTTGCAGTGAAAATAAATGAGTGATTTATTTCTCTCTTTCCCTCTCTCCTGCCTCTCGTCCTTCCCTTCCTCCAGGACGAGGAAATCAACCAGCAGTCTCAGTTGGTGGAGAAGCTGAATGAACAGATGTTGGACCAGGAGGAGGTGACACTCCACCCCCCCACCCCCTCCTCCTCTCCCATCCCCTCCCCTCGCCACTCTCCCACTGTGCCTCAGCTCTCCAGCCGTTCTTGTTAGCATAAGCCCAGTCTGACAGCTGATAGCAGACCATTAGTAGCTCTGCAGGAGAGGTCACTCACCCTTAGCAAGCAGAGGAAAATTACCAGACTGAACACATGAGGTTTTTTTTTGCTGCTCAGAAATGCATGTTGTAGATGCTGTTATCATGAATTTCAGACTTACCTGCCATTTTATCTTTTCATCTTTTAACTAACGTGAACACCATTTCATGTATAGCTCTTAGCTTCCTCCCGCCGTGACCACGACACCCTGCAGAAGGAGCTAAACCGGCTGCTGGCAGAGAACGAAGCCTCTAAGGAGGAGGTGAAGGAGGTGCTGCAGGCCCTGGAGGAGCTGGCCGTCAACTACGATCAGAAGAGTCAGGAAGTTGAGATCAAATCGCGAGAGTTTGAGGCCCTCAGTGAGGAGCTGAACGAGAAATCGGTACTTTTTCTTTAGCTTCCACAGAATCCATTGGAAATGATGACACACTGATTACACATCCAGGCACTTTGTAAGCTGTGTGCTTTTATGTTATAACCCCCTCCCCCACCAGAGCTCCTTGGCCTCCATTGACTCTGAACTGCAGAAGCTGAAGGAGATGACAATCCACCAGAAGAAGAGGTTCACTGAGATGATGTCATCATTGCTCAAAGACCTGGCTGAGATAGGCATCGCCGTGGGAAGCAACGACATTAAGGTTACCAGTCTTGGTGATGACGACTGTTCAAAATTCAGAAATATACTGGAAACTGTGACATTTAGCAGAGGCTCAGTGGCTTGATTGATCTGACAGACACCGGCCAAAGCAGTTAAAATGTCGGCTGCCTGCATTGCCTTCAGTTTACTGTCTTTGTTATGCCTCTGCACCGGCTGCAGTGGCTGTGGCCGGAGGCGTTATGTCTCAGGGTGTCGGTCCATCCTCTCCATTCTCATGAACGTGATATCTCAGTAACACCTTGAGAGAACTTCATCAAATTACGCACATATGTTTACGTGGACTCAAGGCTAAACTGATTCGAATTTCTGGGTCAAAGGTCAAGGTCATAGCGACCTCACAAAACACATTTTTCGCCATAAATATATAAAGAATATTAAATAAAGAATTCCTACACTAATTATAACACAATTTAACTCAAATGTCTATAAAATAAAATGCTGAAGTGATGGCATTTTATATCCAAAGGGTCAAAGGTCAACTTCACTGTGACATCATAATGTTGTGGAAAAATACCTCTGGCCATTATTCAACACTGTAACTCAGGAGAGAGAGACTGTGACCTTATTTCCTACAACTTAGCTGGTTGGCAAAAGCATACAACCACGAGGTGGTTGCATTGCAGTCCATGCAAAATGTAACATCCTTAAGTTCTTTTAGTACATTTATTTGCTTTATAAAATATGATATAGTGGAAAATGTTCCTTTACATTTTTCCAGAGAAGTGCTTGATTTATCTGACCAACAGCTAAAAATATTCAGTTTATTATTATCACACAGAACAAAGCAAAAAGCCACAAACCCTTACAATTAAGAAACTGAAACCAGTCATGCAAACCGGTTTGCATTTTTGTTTAAAAAGGACTTAAAGGTTTAATCAATTCTTCTTTTTTTTTTTAATTTCATTTTTTTGGTAAAATAACAAAACAAGGAGTGACATGGGGACTGAGAAAACATAAAAAACATAACAGACATAAACAGACATAATCAATTGTTTATCTAGTTGCCAATTAATTTTCTATTGATTGATCCATTAATTTCAGCTCCAATTAGTCAGTTACTTCATTTAGTAATGCTGTGTCTTATAGACAATTCTGAGTCTATTATGGAAAAAAGCCCATCACAATATTTCCCAGAGCTCAAAGATCTTCAGAAGATTAATGTCCGACCAACAGACAAAGACCCAAAGATATTCAATTTCTAAAGTCGTGAAATCAAGAAAAGCAGCAAATTCTCACATGAGGAACTGGAGCCAGCGAATGTTCAACATTTTTACTTGATAAATGAGAAAACACTGTCCCTTCACTTTCTGTCAATCAAGTAGTCTACTGAACGTTTTATGAAGCGTCTCCTTTCATCTGTTACTGAACCCTTCAGCTGGGGGCTGTTATGAACACAGGTCAAGCCCAGCTGAGTAAACTGACACACGTTTGACAACAGTTTAATGTTGCAGAGTTTCAGGTGTATCACCAGCTGTATGGTTTTCGAGAGCGTTAGAATCATGGCCGATCTATTTTAAACTCCACGCCTCACCAGAAGAGGCCGATAGGTGAAGCATCTCTTGTGAAAACGTACAGTACAGGTTTTGTAGATGGCAGTTATCGTACAGTACCAAGGCTCTAAGTGGGAATTTTCCCCCCCCCCCCCCGTTTGTTATTGCTATTTTTGCACACTGCACTTCTCAGAGGTAAGCAGTCAGCCCAGATGTGTCGCCAGTAGAGCTGAAATGATTAGTGAATTAATCAATCAAACCATCAATACAAAATTAATCAGCAATCAGTTTTCAAGCAAAAATGTCTTTCAAACATTATCTGGTTTCTCTCATGTAAAGACTTGCTGGACTGATAGTTGTCGATAATAGTCCATTTGAGACAAACAGAGTTCTGGGAGAGCTGCAGAGCTGCATTTTACAGACTTATAATCATTGGCCGTGATGCAAAGCAGATGTTCATATGAAAGATGTTACAGTTGCCTACAGTGACAAAAGTACAACTTCTGGGGCCTTTACAAGTTAGTTTTTTTCTGACCCCTCAGCAACAGGAGAGCACCGGTCTCATTGATGAAGAGTTCACTGTGGCGCGTCTCTACATCAGCAAGATGAAGTCGGAGGTGAAGACGATGGTGAAGCGCAGCAAACTGCTGGAGAGCTCCAAGGCCGAGAACACCCAGAAGATGGAGGAGACGGAGAGCGAGCTGACTGCCTGCCAGCTCCGTATCTCCCAGGTAACTGCTGCTCACTGCCGCCTCTGCTAATGTGGATACTGTCACCATGGTGACAAATGCGGCCTCTCACTAAAATGCCACATCGTGTGGTTATCAATGAAAGAGCAGCTTAACAAGATGATGGGTTTCTGCGGGTTTGTGGGTCTTAATGACACGTGACACTTTCTGATCATTTTCACGTCTTTCTCTCTCACCTGCCGGTGTCCAGTATGAAGCGAAAATCAAGTCACTGACGGACTGCCTGCAGAACGTGGAGCAGAAGAAGAGACAGCTGGAGGAAAATGTGGACTGTCTCAATGAGGAAATCGTCAGGATCAGAGCCCAAGGTGAGCACAAGTCACTTTGCTGCTGTGGCATGTAGCTGCTATATTTACACAAGTGTTGTACAACTTAGTCACATGTACGTTACTTGAGTATTTCCATGTTGTGCAACTTTCTCTTTCAATTTAGAAGGAAATGTCGCACAGTTTTAAAGCTATAGTTTCTTTTCAGATCTTGGATTTTTTCCATACTAAACACATGCTACATTCAGATAATATGATGCATTGTTAAATATTTAATCGATAGCATTATCAGCACAGATGCTCGTTTGACGTGGCACCACCTAGACAGGGCCACAGCCACTGAGGGCACTCAGGACATACTGTATCTTCTGTACGTTTAAGGGTGGGAGAGGTTTAGAAATATGTTCCTGTGTGAACCTTTAATTTGTGACATACACATGAAAACATCAGGAGAAAAAGTTCTTTCTTATCTAAAAATCCAAGATCCTGGCTGTGAAAGCAGCTACAACATTAAAATGCTGCAGCTCATGTAAGCAGTGTATCAATAACTTATAACAATTTAAAGGCACAATTTGGCATAATCTGTACTTTAACTTTTGATGCATACAGGAAGTATATAAGTACATTTTGCTGTTAATATTACTGTACTTTCTGGACTTTTACTTGTAATGGAGTGTTGCTGCAATGTGGTCTTTTTCCACCACTGCTCTGCTGTTGTAACAAAGGCCTGTAATCCGCCATTAAGATAATGAACCGGCATTGTGTTTATAATTGTCTGTCTCCTTCCAGAGAAAGTTAACACCATGGAGAAGGAGAATGAGATCCAGTCTGCCAATGAAGTCAAGGTACGCCTAAGCCGTCCCTTCAGCTTTTAACATGCCTCAAAACAAAAGGAACTTGAATGTGTGACCAGCTGTTTGCTTGTGTTTCTTCAGGACGCTGTGGAGAAGCAGATCCAGTCTCACAGGGAGGCCCATCAGAGGCAGATCGGCAGCCTGAGAGACGAGCTGGATACCAAGGAGAAACTCATCACGGAGCTGCAGGAGTAAGACACCGCCATCACCAAACACTTCTCTCTCTCTGAATGTGACTAAGTGACTGATGGTGTTTCTGACATCTGTGCAGCCTGAACCAGAAGGTCATGCTGGAGCAGGAGAGGCTGAGGGTGGAGCACGAGAAGCTCAAAGCTGCTGACCAGGACAAGAGCCGCCAGATTCTAGACCTCACGTAATGCCTCCATCTTTTGTGTTTTCTCTTCACACTCTACAGCCTGTTTCACTTTTTATATACAGTATATATATATACATTATGTGACATCCATTTCACATTCTGCAGGGCACTGCAGGACAGACAGGAGCAGGCCAGACAGGACCTGAAGGGACTTGAAGAGACTGTGGTCAGTTATTGGCATCTTCATTTTAGATCTGTGTTCGATTAAAGGGATCAGCCAAATTCAGCCAAATGACAAAAAAGAACATTTGGGTTTCTCTTAATTTATTTTAAATACAATGGAGACGAATGGGATTTCATTTAATTAGTTTTTTTAGTTTTAAAATCAACAGTGACATTTCAAAACTTCAGCTTACAGGACCTAAATCAGAGAGGAGTCCACACCTTCAAAAAAAACAACAAAAAAAACTATCTAGAGATTTCACAAGCAGATAACTTTTCTAGATATTTACCTGTACTGTTTTAGCAAGTTGAACAGTCAATTGTAAAACTATTCTATAATGACTCTACTATAATGATTCTATAATGATAATAACTGCAAATTATCACAGGAAATGTAGACGTGACATTTCATTCTGTACCAACATCCTGCAGATGGGGAACTGAATGACTGTCTTTCTATAAAATGATGAGCAATAGGGAATGTTATATCATGTCATCTGATGGCTAAATTATGTTCTGAGATTCTTGTTCTTAATTTTGTCCGTGGAGCTGTGAATGAAACTCTAATCACCACCATGTGTTGGAGTCGGAGATCTCAGAAGATGATTTCTCAAAAAACCTGGACCTTGTTTTTTTCTGAGCTGGGTGTCCTCACCTCCACACAGGCCCGGGAGCTGCAGACACTCCACAACCTGAGGAGGCTTTTCGTCCAAGACTTGTCCTCTAGAGTCAAAAAGGTAAAATGTCCTCTCAGTATCAGCATCCTGTATCCTCCTTTTCTCTGGAAGTTACCATGGTACATTATCACTGCAATCATCCTCCTGTTATCAGGTTGTGTGTGTGATTTAATTTCCTCTCTGGTATGATATCACATGAGCTCTGGTCGCCCCCAAACGCAGCATTTACCTGGAATGAGATGAACAGACCCACATTTCGCTCATGCACCGACCGCACTCCATTTAATTTGCACCAGGATGAAATTTTAATGAATCCAGGGAACACAACAGAAAGTGTCTGCAGTAAGTAGGCCATCTGATTCTTCAAAGGTAGCAGCTGTAAATTAGGGACCCGGGCCCTCGGAGTGGCGCTCGCATCCAGCCCTCAGGCTGTGGGGGTGATGAGATAAACAGAGGCAGAGCAGAGCTTTCCTGGAAGGCACAGAGAAGATGCTGTGGTGTCGGACTCATCTGAAATCTGCTTCTTATCATTTCATTCAGACATAAATCGGATACTTTGGTTTCGGGGCTTTTAGGTTCCATTCATTTTAGACAGTGTGTTGGATTTTCTTTTAGATACAGACTAATTGCAGCAAATTGGTCGTATCCAAAAAATTGATGAATGAACTTTGATTGAAATCAGTGTAAAAAAAAACTGTTTTTAAAAAGATTTTAAAACAAATTATGTCTCACAAAGTACAGTCTCCATATCCATTTCTACGTTGGCCCTGAGAGCTCATCACACTGCAACGTAAGAAAACACATGCAGGGGACACTAAAAAGTGATTAACCTGGCTGGGATTTGTTGTTGAATGACCAATTGTGACTTTTGAAGTTAGAAACACTGAATAAAAGTGCGTCCCAGCCAGGTTCATCGCATGTTTCTTCTTAAGTTGTTTTTTGCCTTAATCCCGATAGCGACTGTGAAAGAGAGAGGCGGGAAAGTCAGAGAGAGAGAGAGAGAGAGAGAGGATGATATGGAGGAAAAAGCCGTGGGTTGGATTGTAGCCCGTGCGGTTAGCATTACAAATTAATTGCAAATTAATTAAAAAGGAAAACTGAAATATCACATTGACATAAGTATTCAGACACTATTTAATACCTGACTAATTAGCAGTTGAAAACCTCCAAACTCTTATTTATTTTACAAATATGTTCATTTTAGTTCATCTGTGTTTTCATCTTTTCACTCCATGTGAAATTAATATTTTGTGTTGTGGAAGTTTAAAAATAAAGTGGTTTGTTTGTGTTCTGGTCAGAACGCTCAGATGGACGAGGAATCAGAAGTTAGTGCTGCCCAGAAACGGAAGATCTCCTTCCTGGAGAACAACCTGGAGCAGCTAACCAAAGTTCACAAGCAGGTAAAGGCAAACACACAGAGAGCGACTTTCACCAGCTTGTGTGTGTGTGTGTGTCTCAGTGCTCGGTGTCTTCATCCTCTCACTCTCTCCGTCATCTGTCTGTCTTTCTGTAGCTGGTACGGGACAACGCTGACCTTCGCTGTGAGATTCCAAAAATGGAGAAGCGCCTGCGAGCCACGGCTGAGCGGGTCAAAGCCCTGGAGACTGCTCTGAAGGAGGCCAAAGAGAACGCAGCCCGCGACCGGAAGCACTACCAGCAGGAGATGGAGCGCATTAAGGACGCCAACAAGCCCAAAAACATGGGCAGGAGAGCCTCAGCAGTGATAGGTGGGTAGAGCCACATGAACACACGGGACTAAAAACCATGAATGTGTTCAATAAAAATTTGATAGTAAAGTAGATTTCCTGGCATTTTGAGGCTAAAAGCACAAATTGTCAGTCTACAAAGTGCTTTTGCAATCAAAGCAATAATAATGGTGTCCAGGTCAAACAAAGGATGCAACATGTAAGCTTTGGCGCTGGTAGGTCGGCAGCAGGAAGCCATGCTGTCCTTCACCACTGGGGCAGAGCCAGGCTAACTGTTTCCAGGGTAGGCTAGGCTAATTGCCTCCTGCCTCTACCTCCAAACTTGATGCACAGGGCTGAGAGCGGTTCAAGCTTCTCATCTACCGCCCAGAGGGAAGACAAATAAGCCAATTTTCCCAGAATATTGAATCATATATAAAATTGTATAAATGCTCTGAATAACGCCTGTGCCTTATTTCAACCTTTGCTCTGTATGTGACCCTTATTCCCTCTGTGTCCATTCCAGCCAAGCCCATCAGACCAGGCCAGCTGCCGGGCGCCCCCATAAACTTCAGCGTCAACAGGTCCAACCTCATCGAGAATAACCAGCCTGCTGGCATCAAAGGCGGAGGCAACAACAGGCTAGAAAAGAATAGATGATGTCTCATGATTACTCAGCTCTGATTAGCACCCTGACATGTTTAAGACAGCCGATATCATTTTCCTCAGTGATTAGCTGTACACCTTGTGTTTCTTTCTTCCAGATTTGACATCCAACCTCTTTTCCTCTGTTCTCCCCTACAGCTCCTGAGGACGCTGAGAGACCCTCCCCCCAACATGAAGCCAAAGACCAAAACACTGAACTTCATCTGGAATCACTGCATTATTCTTCCAACAAGTGTATACACATATGGCCTGAACTTTGTAGCTACGCCTTCAAGCCTCTGGCTGTACAAGCAACTAAAATACGTTAGTTATGAAGACACTCCTGTGCTGCTGTACAGGTGATATTGTAAAGAGGACGGTCTAGACCTGCTCTGTATGAAAAGACGTCTTTGTTTTGAATATTTCTCTGGGATTCCTTCAGTTTTAGCAGATTGTGGCTTGTGAATTGGCTGATTGGGACAAAATATAATCTCCCTCTTAGTGACACTGTGATGTGCAGATGATTGTAATGCTCAACCACTGAGCAGTGTATTTACCACATCTTGGTGGGTAAAAATGATGCTGTAGTTTTTTTTGTTTTTTTTTGTTCAGCAAATAAGAGCTGAGAGAAGCAATAGCTTCTGATTCTCTGCCTATGTTTGTTCTGTATTGTTTTTACTCATTTTTCTTTTTCTGTGTCTGCAACAATTTCAAAAAGCCACTAACTCATCAGCTTCTCAAATGTTATTCGACACTGGAACAGCACTGGCGTCTTTGGCTCAGGGCAGGAACGGCACAGGGAGGAGGTAGATACAAGTGTTATTTTTGCCTGATGCTGCAGGCGAGAGTTAGAGTTCACTTATGTTTACTTTGTTTGGTAAAACACCAGTTAAGTTTTATTTTTAATATATTCAGCCTGAGATGGAAATGCTTGAATTTATAGTAGTAAAGTGGATGATTCGTGTTGACTCTGTCAGCTCTGTCGTATCCATATTAGCACTTCTGACTTCCTGTATTCAAGGGCAATGACCTCCTGTTATTGTACAGAATATAAAGTCACAACAGTTTTAGATGTTTTGCTGAAACGAACCTTTTCAAATGCTTATTATGCTTCACCACTGAAAGTATTAATGATGGCTTAATGTTGGGAAGTCATTGAAATGACTGTGTAAGTGCCTGTACAGTTTGTCCAGGTTACAACAGCATGTGTGTACATATGTTTCCAACGCCTACAGCACTGCACGGTTTCCACAAGTTTTCTGCTGCCTCAGTTCTCAATTTTTAATTCTAGACATAATAAATTGAAACTTGAAACCTTTTTGTGGTGCATTTATTTACTAACAGGAAAGCATGTGAATAGAGTCAGGAATTTTTATTTTTTTAAGATGTGGGCTTTTGAGAATAAATATAAAAGGCCTTGAAACTACCAATCAAAAGCTGTCATTTTTTCTCTCCTTATGATTTCCTGACAAAAGCGTGGTTAAACAATGAGCTCTGCATGGTGTCTAATTTCGATCATTTTTATATCCCAAAACATACACATTATCAGCCTTTAAATTTAACTAAACAAGACTGGAGGTCATTGAAATGAACAATGCTCCTGCCTGTCACTTCCCTCATTACACCAACAGGGTGTGCTTTAACGCAAATAGTCTCTGATAATACACAATTAGAGGTGATGTGATTACATTACAAAGTAAACATTCATACATTATTCTGTGATAATGTAAACTCGCGGTCTTATTGCCTGAGGCTGATTTCAGTGTTCCTATATGTGTTCCTGGATCATCCCGGCGCTAAATCATTCATGAACCCGGCTGGATTCTCCCTGTCATAATTACCATACACAGCTCGGCTGAGGACAAGCGGGTGCATCTTTACATATGTATCATACAAAATGTAATTATTATATATTATGTTATACGGTGTTAACAGTATGAAAATAAAAGTGCTGTCAAATAATGCCACGTTATAGGTGAATAAGGGGGACTCAATCAAAAGTGAAATTTAAACTATTCCAGGTGATCTCCTGAACCCCGGGTGTCTGCGGTTAGGAAGCCCAGTCGGGGCCGGTGAGATGTTGAGCCGGGAGGGGTCGTGGGGTCTGGACGCCTTCTATCAGTGGTGACATAGGCGTAGAGTGGGAGCGACAGCGTCTGCTGGGTTAAAGACCACAACTACGACAAGCTGAACGGAAACTTGCTGACTAGAACCGGAATTTAGTCGATTTTACCTTCATAATAAAAGCCTACAAAATAGATAAAACGTATGGGTACACAATTAAATTAAAAGTGGAATTAGATTTCATATGGAGACAAAAACTGAAAATTGTATTGCAGCATAAATGACGATGTAACCGCAGTCTTTAAAATGCATTGTTAGCCTTTGAAGTATGCTGTGTACTGGTAAAATTGATTTTTGATTAAGTTGTAGCATAAACGTCTTTTATTCGCCATGCATGTGTCTGGAGTGAGTTTAAATAATTATAGGATGGCGTAATATGAAACTGAAATCCTTGAAGAGAAATAGGTCACAACCTTATGGTCACAACAAGCAAACATACATCAGGATTTGTGTGAATAATATAAGGGAATCATTGCAAAAAGTAACACAATATTGTGTATCATTGTTTGGATATAGCCTAAATGTGATAAGTTTTATTCATGCTTTTATTATAATAAAAATGTAGCAACAACCAACACACGCATATTGACCCAAACTCCTCCATTCCCTGAACAATTACAGAAAATAATGAATGTCTAAAGGATAAAAAGGTTAATGTATATGCTAATAATTTAATAGAAATATATTTGATTTAGCTATTCTATTCGTTATTCTCACTTTGCTATACTGTTTTAATCTCAACCCACATACGAATACTTCAGGCAGCTTTAACTTTGAAAGCTGTGACCGGATGTGCCTTATGTTAACGCGCCGAACTCGACAGCGTGCAGAGAGGCGGGGGATTGCGAACAAACCGACTGACTGGAGGTCTGCGGCGGACTCAGTCGGAGCAGCCGACACTGAAATAGGTGGGAAAAGTTGTTCCTGACCACCTCTCCGGTCGACACGGAAAAGAGAGAGACGCCGCCGGAGTTTTTAAAGGTGGGTATGTTTCATTTTTGTGTGGGGCTTTTCCGTCGCCCGGTCAGCGAGAGGCTATTGGCTTCTGTCGGAGTTACTTTGTTGCTATGCACGCTGTTGCAGAGCGGAGGGTTTGTGTCCGAGTGAACCTGCAGTGTTTCTATCCAGGCACGAAGCCTCTGCGAAATTTCACAGAAATGTAACGAACCGGTAAAAATAACCTAAATGTGAACGTTGTTTTTCGCTCGTGCTTGTTTTAGACACGTTAACAGCTGGGTAATTAAACATTCCACGTGATTGCATCAATCTGTGAGGCAAGCACCTACAGATTTGTTGAGCTTATTTCCTCGCGGTGTGTTTGGCTATTTGTCCCCGTTCAGGGGGGTCTTCCTCCGGCAGGCATGTCCCTGCCCATCCCTCGCTCCTGGGAATCCTTGGTGATGTCGAATCTGAGCCCTTTGTTGTAAATGCACATGGATTAAACTCCTTTGTGTTGTATTTCTGCAGTCTCTGTGGGGCTGGAAGGGACCCTGCCCCCCACCTATGCCCCCCCATCCGCCCCCAGGCATGCTCTGGCCGCACAGACCTCACAATTTGTACACTCACGCTGCTTGTTTTCAGAGCTTCCACGGCGCGCTGTAAGAAAAGAAAAGTGTTTGCATGCAGCGCTGATCCACATATGCAGCAAATAGCAGGCGCAGATGGAGTGAAATGCAGCAGCACATGTTGGAGTGGATGCTGCTCGGCCACATCTGTTTTGAATGAAGCACAGGGACAAAGGCAGTCCGAGTCTCAGGGTGTTTTGCTGCTACAGTGGCTGGTCTGCAGATGTAGGCAGACAAAAGCATAGAGGTCGTGATGTTTGTCTTGATGCATGCATTGGTTGTCTGCCAGCTACACCCTGCACTATGAGTGCTACATTATAGTGCTTTACCATAACGCCAATTATGCAAGTATATATTAGAACTTAATGGCACTGATTTGTTCATGTTGCTGGTTTTCAACAGCAGCATTTCACTCCTTGCCCATGTGGGCAAAGAGCTCAAACATTTTATTTAGTAACATTATTTTACCCAAATAATTATGATTAAGATTTTTTCCCCCCAGGAAATGACACCTGCAATCAGATTTTTATTATGGGTGGTGTTTTCGGTAGAATCACATATCTGCCTATGGAAGGCATAGGATCAAATTTGCAGCTGGAAATAATAGCAGCAACAGAAACAATTTACTTATTGTCATGATGCTAGAACAGGTGAAGATGTGAAGCTTAAAAGTTAGTAAATTAATTAAAGATAATCCAATAGTTATGTTAGGGAATTAATATAAAATCCTGGCTAAAACAGTACGAACAAGTGTGAGTACGTACATGAATACATGACATCCTCTTCAAGGACCCCAGGAAGTCCTAGGGTCCCACTTTGGGAACCAAAGATCGATTCCCAAACAGAACAGTGGGACATCGTCAGAGCTTCGGACCACTTAGACAGACACGCAGTAGCTGTTCAGTCACCGCTGCACTGAGCTGTGGCAGCTTGTTACTAAACATGAGCGCCGTCCTTTGAGTCCCCACAGAGCAACAAGTTGACTGCTGCTCTCCTCTGAGACTTCACTTTACTCTGACTCCATGCAGTGACGGGGATTCATTTGCAGCAAAATTTACTCTCTGGTCCTCTGGCAGAGACGCCACAGCGCATGAAATAGAGAGCGGGAGAGTGGAGTTGTAAGGCCTTCGCTGTATTGTGTCTGTGGAGACGGTTTAAATTTATAGTTAACAGTGATTTTTTGTTGTTGTGACTCAGTGTGGGCCGCTGCCAAGGTGAATGATGTCATGCCTGATTTCGAGCTAACTACTGTCTGGTTTCGGAGGTTTCCTGGGGTCTTGACATGCCTCCAAAAAAAAAATTTAAATTCCTTATGCTTGTCTTTTT